GTAACTATACAGGACAGACTGGACACGCATGATTAGATCACGCGCATACACGAGCACACGCTGACATGTTTAATGAGTCGTCCCTCCAAGGTAAGACTAAGTTAGTCAGGCGCAAAACGACAAATTTAATCGCAGGCGGAATTAAACCGGACTTTCCAGTGGAGAAGAGTGAAAGGAAAGTTCGATCGTAAAATATCGTGATTAAGGGTGAAACTGCAACGGGGACTTAGTGCAAGCTCATTTGCATGATATTCGAGACGCCCACTATGAACATTGGTTCATGCAGAGACAAGGGCCAGAGCATATGAAGTAAACATAGACGTGGCCTCGGGAGCTCTGCATCCGACCTCATCCTCAGGAGCGCCATGGCGTTGTCCCACCAATGGAATACGATGCATGCAAAAAGAGTGAGACTGATGTTTTTCAAGCTGCAGCAGCCGCGTCGCCAATATAGTGGGGTGGTCCGTGTTATTAGGGACCAGAAAACTGGAAAATTTACTACATGCAGGTTCTCTAATGTGTAGCCTGTTAGGAGGGACAAAACGGTTAGCATACAGGCAGCAAACAGTCGCGCTCACATGGGCTATCGATCGGCCTACACGCGAGCAGACGCATCGTGCCAGACAAGTAATCAGTGACATTCAGTCACTGAGTCACCAGTCAATCCTACCACTACGTACGCCACAAGAGAAATTGATTAGCTCAATGGACATAGTTTACACGCGCTTGTTGCTCTAAATATGTTGTACCTTTGACACTCAAAGACTTCTGCTTTTGCCCTCTTCCTGTCGTGTACTTCCTTAGGGAACTCACACGAGACGTCATCAGGCGGTGACATCTCAGCCTTGGCTACTGTTACAACACAGCCTGCTTGGAATCCGCTGGTGTAGTCCCTGAATGACAATCCACAAATGTAAAGGTTATGAAAATCAGATTGTGGCGATATAAACAACACACTCCCCCCCCATAAAGCGCTTAACTAAAAAACTGGTCATTAGGTTCAAAGTCACTGGTTTTCAACCACTATCGACCACCATTGTGGATCCGGTATTTTGATGACACGTTGGTCATCATTAGTTGAAATAGGATTGGGAATTTCAAAGATAATCTGAACTCGATTCTCCCCGACATCTAGTTAACGGTGGAGGAGGGAAAAGACTACGAGTTACCGATCCTCAACCTGCTAGTATGCTCAAAATACGGCG